CGAACGCTTCAAAAGTCTTTTTAGGAATTGTTTTTGGTGATTTCTAACATGAGACAAGTTCTATGTCCAAGGCCCGTACTCACCTATTGCTTGGACGATCAACGAGAAATCTCTGGCTGTGCTTGGAGCAAGCTTCAGCCCGAGTGTCATTACAGGAAACGCAACAGCTCCACCGCCTTCCGACGTCATCCCTAAAGATGTAATAGTCTGCCGCCTGGCAATCCACTGACAACGTTGGCGCGATGCCAGTGCGCGCTGTCATAAATGGCAACAACGTGTAAGATCGAATTCCCGGAATGATTAATGGACTGAGGGCCCGTCTCCCCTGTACCATAGGATAATCCGGAGAAATCGGAGAGCCGATAGTACATGATAGTTGCTCTTCAAGTTACTATCACTGAAGTGGTTCGTACAATTTTTATTAAAGCGAAAGAAGCCCTCTCCCTTCCCGGGATTAGTCAATTCTCAACTAATGCATATTACTATATTTTTTCTTCAAAATTCAATATGATCAAGTTTTGTGAAATTTTTGAAAAACCTTCAGTCAAAACGGTCCTTTTCTAATGTGTTTTGCTTGTATTGCGACATTATGGATCCAAAAACGACGCTTTGACGTATACTACACTTCCTTAAAATTCATTTGGCTAAATAAAAGTGCCGTTAAATGAGTAATGTCAGGGTTCGTTGAAAGGAGAGCATACTTTCATTACTACTACTCTCCTAAATACTACATAGTACTGTTTATTCTATGAAGGTTCATGAAGTAAAAAGAAAATAGGTGGAAATAGGTAAATTGCTCATTATTTACCTACATTTTGACCAATAAACACAGAAACCTACCAGCTACAGTCGATCCAAGTAACATGATTGCAGGAAGTTCCCAATGAGTACGATAGAGTGATAGCCATGAATAACGGATAGCGGTTAACCACCAAAACGCCTGAAAATGATGTCGATTGCAAGAGAAGGCGATCAGGTGAGAGAAAAATTCAGAAAAAAAAATGAGAAAATAGATAGTTAGAGCTGCTCTTGGTTAAAAATGAGTATTTTAGTCAGCTTCACAATGCGGCTTCAAGAATGTGCTTCATTGCTTGCTTAACTCATCAGTCATTCTTCTGAATGCGCCATGCATCCGAATTGTTCCGAAGCCGTGTGAATATATGAAAGTATACCTAGCCTTCATAATGATCTGTGAGGCCTATCGATATCGAATTGACGTATATGTAATGTGTGAAGAAAAAAAAACAGCTCCATGTACATTCTATCTCTTAACCATATGAAATGCCGCTGTGATCACCTAAAACCCTTTTAAGGATGACTGAAGAGTCCCCCCTCGAGTAAGTCAAAAAATTAGTAGCAAATAGTATATAACATAAACAAAATAGAGACTATGTGGAGTGGAATATTTGGGAAAATCCCTTTTTCATGATCTATAAAGTCAGTAGGATGGGAAGAAATAGAACGAAGATGGGTATGAAAAAACACTGTCAAAAATGGGTTTGAAATGAATGGAGGGAAATATGTACAGGGATGCAAAAAATCCTCAGAGGACAACTATTATATTTCAATGCAATTGACGGTACAAAAATCAAATTACTAGTCGATATGTCGAGTAGAGAAAAGGTATCTACCGGATCCCTTGTTGTAGAAAGGCTCAGAAGCCCATGTCAGTATATGAAATGCAGCCACTTTACTTCTAACTCGTCAGATCTCTGAACCATCTTATATATAAATTGATGTTTCTGACACTATAGAGATAAAAAATTAGAGGCTAACAGAAATATTTTCAAAAACACCCTCAATACCACGAGCAACTGCCCCTTTGATTTCTTACACTTCAAAAAGTTATATGTCAGCCACGTTTGTTATTTGTTTTTAAACGATCTACAATTAGATGTCCTTAGCATTTATATGGGTGTTGTATATATAACCAAAACTACTTTTCCATTCTTCTTGGGACATCCTAACCGTAGGGATGATAGCAGCATGACTTTTTGCTTCCCACCTCCACTCTACCCCTCTCCATCTCCACTCCCCATTGCCTTTGATATCTTGATTTCAATACCTCAATTCGATGATTGTAGCTAACTAAGAGATGGAATAAATAAAACTCGTTGGACGTAATGAAACACTTAAAATTTAATATTTTCTTATCAATTGCTGAAAAGTAGTGGGCGATGTAGTGTAGTGGCGAGAAGTGCACCATCACACTCATGGTTCGGGGTTCGAGTCAGGGATCTACACTTGCCTACGCCAATCAAGAAGTTCAGCCATCCAGGAGCGGTCGACTAATCGGTCATAGTCGTCTGAGATGATAAAGACACTGTCTTGTAAATCTGCTGGTCAAAGCAAGTCACTGTAAAGGCCACATATGCATTCGAACCACCTCTACCTCTATCATTTTAGATGTGAATCGAACGCAAGGCACGTCCCAGAATGGAGTTGAATGAAGATCTTCATGCAACATTTCACAAACATCACTAATTTTACTGAAGTTGCAGACATTCACTATGAGAGGGCTAAGATTTTTACACCAAACGCTCGAAAATATTTTGCTATCTTATCAAATGCTGAAAGTAAAAATATAAAAAATATAAAATACAGTAAAAAAAACATAATAAAAGTAGTTCTAGAGCAGTACGAATGAAAAGTGATAAAAATAACCAGCTTGTCTACCTGCATTACTACTAGAGGAATTAGAACGGCTACGTATTTCCTGTACTTAATCAGGATGACATCCAAAAAATCGGCGTCATCTGGTAACTCCTGCTGAACAGAGCTTTCGTCCAAATGCTGACCTACACAAAACTTTTATTCTCCAGAAAATCCTCAAATCCTCAAGTTTTCTCTTGCAAACTGACAAACCTTCCCAGAAATATTTTCGGAAAAAATTCTTCTTTGTGATTTTAGCCTGCTTCATTCTTAGGCAGCAGAGAGCAAGGAATAACCAACTAAATACGGGATCTGAGGCAGGGCTAGCCGCAATGGATCTAGGTGAAGGCAGCAAATGAGACAGCTCTATGGGTCAAAATCTGTTAGCACGCCCATTCGGTTCATTCTGTTGTAGCCACGCCCACATTACAGTACAAAGTGTAGGTGATAAAATTTAAGCCCCTATTGGATGAACCTAATCCAAACGAGTTCTTTTAGGGTGTCTGTCTATCAAAGGGTAAAGAGATTTTCCAAGTTGTTAAAGGAACCAGTTGGATTTTGAAGACGAAAAGTCATATCAATAAGAGGATCACGTAGGATAATCCATATTTTTCTGGAAGGATGAAAAGAAAGGTCTCTAGGAATCATGGTTCATCAAAAGAAGGAGGTAGGTAGGTACGTAACATTGTGGCTCGTAGGCAAACCTTAATGTGGGTTAGAGGACTCAAGACTACATAGTTCCTGAACGATACGGGTATGGATAGGGGCCATAATTTGAATATGCCGTTCACTACCATTATGATTCAGAAACAACATCGCAGTACAATTCAAATGAGGTACGAGTAGAGCAGAGGTCATGAGGGCTGCTCTGAGGTTGGGATTCCTTTTATTGAGTTCTGCTTATGTCAGGTGTCATTCCCTTAGTGAACGAAACTACCCGCCCAAAGTGTGTTGGGTCTAAAACCTCGTCTTAACATTGGCTTCTAATAATCGAATGAAAAGTTGGGCTATGAGACAGGTTTTGGGCTGCAATGTGATGGACGAGAAGTAACATTGGTGTTGAAGGCCTCTGGTTTGTGCAGCTGTGTTACAGTAGACACCTTGAATATTCTATGATCAGCCGGCTGCCAAGCTCCGCTCTTCGCATTTACAAAGTCAAAATGTACGGTTGACCCCACGTTTCTCTTTCCGTGACAGACAAATTACTTCTGATAATAAAATTTTCAGAGGAAATACAGTCAACTAAGCTGGCCCAGGGGGCCTTACAATTCGACACGGGACGCTTAAGTTCATCGCATACCTCTGCGGAAGCTTATCTGTTGCCTTTGATCTGAACAACAAACATCTATCAAAAACTTACAATTAGTCCTTTCCTTCATTGGGTCTACTGGGTAACGACTTTTCTACAACAGCAAACTGCTTTGTACCTACTTTATTCTAACTCCTTGTTACAAATCAATGGCGAAAAAGCTATAGCATTATAAGTCTCATTTTAATGGACACTCCGACTTGGGATCCTTCCATTGCCAGATTACTGATATTATAGCTGGGTAAGTTGTGTGCCAGAAGATATCGAATTTAAAAGGATATTTGGTTCTGCAATGAATCACAAACCTTGAGGTGTGGTCGTCGTAAAAGCAAAGAACGAGCCAAAGTTCTTTGCTATTTCTTGTAAATCTTGTGTGCAGATGACTTTGATCGGTCCTTATCATTGCACTTAACTCTCATTTTTTGTCAACTACTCTATAGTCACTTCTTATCGTATGAAAAATATAATGAGTTGTTGGGAAAGTTCTCGCCGATTTTGCACTGTGTTCATCAACGCTTTTATAAAAAAGTCTCTGTTACGCCCTTTACGAATTGTTTTTGGGAAAGTAAAACAAAGACCCATATTTTAGTCTAAAGTATGTTACTATTCTTCGAGTTCTATTTGTGCAGAGCCGGCGTGAAGAGGTAATACCATCAAGAAAATCTTCGACACCTAATGCTTTTCTTCTACCGCAAAAGGAAGAGTGCAGTTCGAAAGGCGAAAAAGAGATGTGATATTCACGAAGACAATGCTCTATCAGAACCCATAGTGCTTGAGTGCCTTGCAAAGCATAGACGGCGTGATTAAATCCTTGTGTCTAAATTCGACTATCCAGGACCATATAGTTGATTTCGATTGGGTGGCCGCCTTAAAGGCACAGTTCACGAGTTAGCTGAAAATCGGAAGTATACGTTGGGAATAGTTCATTAGTAGTGCAGAAGACGAGAAAATCGCCGTTTTAAAAAAAATAAGGCTCCTCAAAAGTAGGGAAAATAGAGGTTGGACGAGACTAGTGCGACGCGAATAACATGGATAGGGTATTTGGACAAGATTTCAATTGTGCAATCGCTCAAAGAGCTGACCACATCAAGCTAGAATTGTACAGAGCTGTCTTTCACTGCCCCTATAGGACATGACATGTTGTTTGAACTTCCTACATGGGTTCCCTTGTGAACGATGCAGCCACTACAAGCCGGAGAAACTCGTCCGAGGGTACACATGAGCCAATATTTGAGCCTTTATAACGCCATAATTAAGCCGTTTTCCGACATGATAGCGCCAGACATGGTATAAGAGGGGACCTCAAAATCATCCTATGGGGAAATCCCAGAAACCACCTTTATCGTGAACTGTGCCTTCAATATTTGGGTATCTCAGAACCAGCAATCCAGTCTATAAAGCTGCATTTCCGTAAGGATTTCGTCGCTCAAACTTGAAGAAAATTAGCATTTTCAGAAATGCGTAGTAGCGGGTAATGAAAAATGGATCATGCATGACTTTGTGTAGTTAAAACGTTTGCGGTGTGAGCTTAGTAACCACCACTGACCACTTTAAAAGCGAAATTCGTGCACTGAAGAACGTACTATTCTGCTGGTGTTACTGGAAGAGAGTTATCTTTTGCGAGCTGTCACTGTCAGCCACCTGGCCCCTCTTGTATGACTTATACTTAGTTGCACATTTTGAAGGCAAGCAATAGAGCGAAAGCGCACAAAGTCAATTCTGATGGTGAAGTCTCCCATGGACAAGGCCTGATCACATGTATCTTTGACCACTCGTCAAAAAATGCTGAAGTTCGGATTTCACGCTTCACCACATCCCCCATATAGTCCAGATATTTCACCACAATTCTTTCCTTGTTTATAACTCTGTGAACTTCTTTCCGTGGGGTATCGTTTGCTTCTCTAGCTCACTGCAAAGTGAATTTACAAGTAGAACGAATTCTCTAAACTGCCAGGAATCTGCTGTAAAAGGGGGACAGTTCAACTTTCAGAGATATAGCGAACCAGATAGACCAGAATGGGTATGCATTGTCCAGTGAAAGGGTTTATATTTTTAAGAGCTTTTATTCACACTCGACCTCGGAAATCGGGGAATGTTCCCGAACAACCTAGTAGAAATGTCAACGTTACACTGTATATATGTGCCAAAGGGTTCAGAAACAAAAATTTAGGATTTTTTATCAGCCTTCAAAAGCTGTTACCATTCTCTGTAATTCGTTACCTCCGATTCACACCCTTTATCACACACTGAAGTAGGAATGCTAGATTGTATCAGAAGAGAAAGTGATCTACTGGCAATCACCAACCTTTGTCAGTTGCTTATATGTCTTGTCACTAACCATCCACTATCCCGACAAATCCCACATCACTCTCAAATGCATTAGGTCCTTACTATTGATTAAATGCACAGTTCACGATAGTTTTAGATAATCCAGATTATGATGAAAAATAGAAGACAAGATCGAAGCTAGTGCGACTGAGGTGAAGAAACTGCGTGCATCGGTATTTCCAAAGTGAAAAAGGCTTCGAAAATCCGTTAAAACGGGGGCTGGACGAGAATGAAACCAGAAAAATGAAGAAGGGTGGGGCATTCGAACGAGCTAAACAGTGTGTTTCACTGCGCGCGTGTGGGTCCTGGTGCGAAGAACAGATAATGGTAAGCTAAAATTCATTCATTTATAAGCATAAATAAACAAAAAAAACCCTAGTAACAGCAAAAGTAGCTCACCTTTTCTAGCCTCTAGGAGTAGTTAATTAAATAAGGGATCGCGTCAGCAAAAAGAAAGCAGAGGAAAGAAGAATGGGAGGAAAACATCGCCTCATCACTCGGCGATTAGCTGATTGTGCGTGGGTCCTAGAACGAATAATAGCATTCTGTATTGTCTCGACACTCGTCTAACGTGACACCGATCGAGGGGTGGGAAAGTGAACTACGGCAGCAACGGGGCTTCCACTATGCCCTAAGCGCCGAGATTGTGGGAGCGAGAGGGTTCCTTCTACCATCCATGGAGGGCACTGAGTATTCCTAAAAGAAGAACTCAGGAACCGTGCGTTTACAGGAAGCAACTGAATCAGTGGCTCCTTCCTTGTACAAGTGCTTATCAGCCTTTATCAGCTGTTATCAGTTTCTGTCACTGACTCTAGAGTACTGACGATTTCATCACCATTTGCATCACCCACCTAGAAGCCAATATACCACTGCTTACTCGGTAGGCTTTGCAGACCAAGTGACACTCGCCTTCTATATATAATCTATCTATTGGTCTTAATCAAATGTTATATTCCCTAGCAACGTTTCATCCCGCCCCTTGAATCCCTTTCGAAGTCGAACGTTCTGGGTCCGGAGTTACAGGATTTACCAGTCTCGGAAAAAACACACATCGGCACACAAACACGTACACCCACATACACATATACATTCAAGCACACACCAATCCACCGGCAAACCAAAGGAAACAATTATTGAATTGTACATAGTAGGATAGCTCGATATGAACAGAAAGCCTTCAAATTTTCATGCATACTTTTGGTTTGCAGCTTTTTCAAAATCTCTTATCTACTCACTCATTCGTTTATGTATTCATTTATTTATTCAGTGCCATGATAAGAATGCATCCAATATCACTCTTTAACGTTTTTTTTTTCAAGAAAAAAACGATAGTGCACAGGCCATAGTGTGGAAGATGAAAAACCGATTTATGGAACCTTTGATTATTCCTCTGGTATTCACTAGAAGCCCTGAATGACCAATAAAAATAATGATAGCAGCAAAAACATACCTTTAAGTCACATCACAATATTTCTGTTCTTTAATGAAAGCTAAACCATGGCGCAACGAAAAGAGGGTTTATGTGTGCCGTCCGCTTAGGTGAAATCAGTCAGACTACTTAACCCTACCGAAGCTCTAACTCGAGCAATGATGCAGATCAATGTCCATTCGGTCAGACAGTTCACAGGTCT